CCTCCTCCTCCCTCCTCCCTCCTTCCTTCTTTCCTTTCTCCCTCCTCCCTCCTCTGCCCTCCTCCCTTCTCCTCCTCCCCCCCTCCTCCCTCAACTTCCTGTTTATCGATGTATTTACACTTTACTTTTCGAGTATCTTTTATGAATCGTGTCGTCTCTGTTGCTGATGTCTCAAAAATAATTTACATAAACTAGAGTCCTTTCTTGTGGTTCTTTGCCTTTTTGTGTTTCTAGCTGTTTCCCCCCAGACTTTTAAATTTCTGTATGTTTTCTTCTTTTTCTCCCCCTCAAAAACTCCAATGTTCGGGTTCATTTCTCAATCTCGCTTTCTAACGTGCACGTTCCCTGTCTCGTCTGTCCTTAGCTTTGTTTTTGATCTGTGGGTTTTAATTTGTGAGCCGTGAGCTCAGCAGGGTCTTCCTCCTGTCCTGTGGGGGTGCGAGTATTTGAGGCTACGACTTTTCCTTCAAGGTTTGCATTAGCTGCATCTCGTGGGCCTGCTGTGGCCTCTGACCTCACTGTGCCTTCACCCACCGCCACGCTCCTCCCACATCACGAAGGTCCAGCACAGGACGCCCAACATAAAGCAATGCAAACCACGTATGTAATTTTAACTTTTCTGCATTGAAGTAAACAGATGAAAATGATCTAAATATTTTATTCAGATCAATATTCCAAGTCGCTTTCATGTCGATGTGTAATCAATCAATCACAGAACCATTACCAGTGAACCTGTCCATGTTTTCCTGTGCGGGTCTTTGATATCTGGGACGTACTGGACGCTGACAGCAGATCTGTCCACACTGGCCCATTTGGGGGAGTGGCAGCGCGTGGCCCCATGGTGGCAGGCGTCTCTCAGGGTCTCTCTGCCTCTCCTACCTCCAGGACGGCCCTGAGCAGGTGCTTTGCCAGACCCAGCGGGGGCCATGGTCCCCCCACATTGGAAGCCCTGGAGGAGACGCCAAGCCAGTGTCCACACACGTCCCTCGGTGTTGGTCAGCACCTCAGAGCAGGCAGCTTGGCCTCAGATGGAAGCCCAAGGCCAGGGCTCCCTGGGAGGCCTCTCGCGGGCCTGCCGATGGTCACCCTCCTGCTGGGTTGTCCCGTGTCCTTGTGCGGGCACAAGCCGAGCCTGATGTCTTCTTCTTACAAGGACACGTCACGTGGGAGGAGGGCTCAACCCCTCTGACCCATCGGCCTCAACCACCTCGTCAAAGGCCTAATCTCCAAACGTGGCCACATGCCCAGGTCCAGGGGCCAGCTTCGGCATGATTGGGGGACACGCTGGTCCCATAGGGTGATCCCGAGCACCTGCCACCTCTGTCCCTGGCCCTCATTCCTCCTCCCGCAGGCCACAGACCAGGGCTGCTGCCAGCTGTGGGCAGGGGAGCACCTGTGTATCCAAGGAGGGGCGCATCTGTCTGGGGCTCAGGCCTTGTCACGGGGACATCTTATCAGGAGCCAGGCACGGAGGCTCCGGCCCATGACACCAGGTGGCGCACCTGCTATTCCTGAAGGTCAGACAAAGGAAAACCCAGCACCCAAGGGTCCCCAAGACACACAAGGGCCAGCCTTGTGCAGGACAAGACCGTGATCACGAAGAGCGGCCAAGGGGCCAGTGGCAGGGCCCACCGACACCACATGGCCCACCTTCCTTCAGAGAGAAGCCCCGTGTTAGGGTGACAGTGAGCACAGCTCACACGCCACTCCCAGCCACCCCCTCCTCTAGGGTGCCACGTGACCTCATCCTGGCTGACGAGATGGCCGGGGCTTTTCATCCCCATTGCCCTTTCCTCTCTCTTCCTGCCTGGAACCCCTGTAAGGTTCCTGGAGTAGCAGCAGCCTTCTCGTAGACGTGAGGATGAAAGCCACATGTCAAGGGTGGCAGAGCAGAGCGAGGGCAGAGGCAAGTCCCTGGAAGTCAGGAGCCGCCGCACCACTGCCTGGGAACAGGTGCCTGACATCTTGCTATGTGTGAAATCAAACTCAAGCAACAAAAGCCTCCGTCCGTCACAGTCGTCCACCTGCTCATTGTCACGGCTGGCGCAGTGGCTGCCGCGGCGTGGCTGGGGCACAGCCCGTGTGCTCACAGTGCCCTTGCCCAGGAGCCTCCGGGCAGCGTCACAGGCTGCAGGTGGCACACGTGGAGCCCCAGAGTCTGTGTTCTCCAGAACGTTCTTAGTGGCCAGTTGGAGAAACCAGTATGAGGTGCTCCAGGGGGTCAGTGAGGGCAGCAGTGGCCATCCTGGCTGGGGGCCTGGGCTTCTGTCCCCACTGGACCGTGCCCCTGGAGCAGGACGTCGCCTCCCACCGTCCCAGCAAGAGCCCAGGCTGCAGCTCCCTGGACCAAGAGGAGAGCCCCCCGGGGAGCCAGAGGGCCCCTCCCGCCCAGAAGAGCACGGGGCTTCGCTTCCCAGAGACGGGAGAAGTCCCGCCGGGGGCCTTGCAGACAGCTGGACGACGCTCCCTGATGGCGATGGGGACGTCCCTCCCCAGCTCAGGCGACAGCATCCAGAGCCCTCGCTACCCACGGCTGACCGTCCACGGCAGGCGACGGACGCTCTGTCCGGCACTGGCCCGACCCGACATCACAGAGCACAGCAGGCCCGGGGCCCCTCCCTCCGCTGTCCCCCCACCGGGTCCCCTTGGGCTCCCAGGTCCTGCGGGAGCTAAACAAGGACTTCTGGGCTCAGGAGGGACCAGGAGACACCAGGACAGCAGAGACCCCACTGGCACTCTCTGTGGGTCCTTCAACCAGAGCTCCCCCCACCCTCGCCCCCAAGTGTCATTGGCCCAGACAAGGGGGACAGGGAGACTGGGGCCCCCTTCAGGGCAGGGACACCTCTCCTGACAGGTGGCCGGGTCCCTTAGGGATGCACAGGAGGCGCCCACTCTCCAAGCCCCCGGCCCTCGGCTTGGCTCAGGTTCCCGAGGGACTGTCTGTCACGTTCCACCGGGTTCTGGGGACAGGGCTCTGCAGCTCCGGCCCCACCGTCGGAGCACGTCTGGCCCAGTCCTTCCCCGCGGAGCTGCGGAAGTGCTTCCTCCCTCTCCCCGAGGAGATGCCACCAGCCTGGGATGCGGAACCTGCCGGAGGGTCCTAGGGACCACCCAGAGGTGCCAGCTCAGCTGCCTGAGGTGGAGCCGGGTGGCATCTGCCACAGTCTCCCCAGGCCATGGCTGCCCCAGGCTGACCGTTGTGTCAGTGGTCACCACGGCTCATGTGGCTGGGACAGGGTGCTGATTCTTGGCCCTAAATCAGTTTCCCGGTCCTGCTGACCCTCTCAGGTGGCTCTTGGCACAGACGATCAGAGGATGCGGGTGGGCCCCGTGGCTTGGCCACCAAGTTGACCCCTGTGCCTGGACACTGGCAGGTAGTAGGGCTTCCTGCCACACACTTATCTGACTCCCGGGATGACCGCTGAGGGAGGAGGGCCCCGTGAGAGGTGGAGACTGAGGTGTGACAAAGGTCCCCACAGGGCCACGTTGGACTCCGGCCTCAGGTCTGTCCGGGGCTCCTTCCTGGGGGCTGCTGGGAGGAAAGGCTCCACACCCCCTGGTCCCTCGGGAGGCAGGAGGTGTCCCCCTAGGGTGCAGGAGCCCTGGCCGGGTCACCTGCAGGCGAGCCCTGTGAGCGGTCCCAGTTGTCCTTGTGTCTCCACCAGGCCCCCCTGCACATGTGCTCATCGAGAGTTGGAGGCTCAGAAAGTCAGAGCAGGACACGCCCCAGGACCCTGGCAGTGACAGGGACCCCCAGCCTGTGGCAGAGGGTGGAAACCGTCCCTGCAACACCCCACACCGTGGGCCGGCCTCTGCCTGGTGGGTGGAATGCGGGTCTGTGCCTGCCCAGCAGGTGAAGGGCTAGCGCCGTCCACCCCATCAGATGGACCCGAGGGCAGGGGGCAGGGAGCATTCCCCAGAGCCACCAGTGGGCACAGTCCTGGCCAAATGCACCTCAGCAGAGACCCAGGACACCCTGTGGCTGCGTGTGCGGTAGCCGATAAACGCGTCCACCCTCCAGAGGGGACAGGTTGCCCCTGCAGGAGGCCCGGGACGGGGAGGGCTTCCTGCCGGGCCCGAGGCCTAGTCCCTTTTGGGTCTGGGGGGCCGGGGCCGCGGCGGGGCCAGCCTGCGGTCGAGGTAGGCTCCGAGGCAGGACCACAGGAGGAAGCGGACCAGCAGGATGACCACCAGCAACACCAGGAGCAGGTCGGGGCCGCCCGAGCCGCCCCCCAGCCAGGAGGCCATGCCCACTCCGGCCTCCGGGGGCCCCGTCAGGCTTCCCTCCCACCAGACTCCAGCCAGGGCCTCCCCGGCGGGCGAGGGGACAGATCGGGACTGCAAGCCGCCTCCTTGGTCAAGAGGCCCATGTGCCATTCATCCGGAGGCAGCCACTCTCCCGGCCCACAATGACAGCATTGTCCCGAGGCCTGGGGGCGGGAGGCCGCCCGGAGCCCGCCTCCCTCGCTGTCCCCGCGGCCCCTGCCCGCCAGCGCTGACGTAATCCCCAAACATCTCCGGCGGTGGCAGCTGCTGGGCGAAGCAGGGCCGCCTCCAGCTCCTCCAGCCGCCCACGCGGCTCTTCCGGCCGCCGCGAGACAATCGGGCCCTTTCTGTCCCCAATTAGCTATCACTTCTGGAGCCGGCGCTGCCCGAGGCCGGCGGTCTTTGCAGCAGCAGCAGGCCGGGCGGGGAGGCGGCTGCACATACGGGATGAGGACAGGGGCCACCCCAGACGCCGCTCAATTAGCACATGGCCCGCATCCTCGTCCTGAGGCCCAGGACATCATGGGGGGTCAGCGCAGGCTGCAGCAGGACAGCCCAGGGAGGCCCAGCCCCCGGACTCGCCTGATCCCCCAGGAGGCCGCCCGGCTGCCCAGCGCCTCCTTCTCACCCACCAGCCCACCCAGAGGCGTGGAGGGGACCTGGCCCTCAGGGACAGACAGTCCTGTTGGTCCCCGCACGTCCCTCACAGGGTCCCTGCCTGAAGCCCCAGCCTCCACACTCACCCAGAGACCAGGGCCAGCCGCTCCGCACTCGCTGTGGCTCCTCCTGGGACCCCGGCCTTGAAGGACTGGGGGACAGAGGCGGCCACAGCCCTGCCCAGGGCACCCCACACCTCTCCTCTCCTAACGCTGGGCGCAGGGACAGCACCCTCGTGGCCTGCCCAGGAGCAGCACTGGCCTCACAGGGGAGCCCCCCCCCCCAGCTCGAGGGGCCACAGCAGGACCAGGGGGTCTGGCGTGGTCCAGCGCAGCCACACGCTCACCAGAAAACGGTCCAAGGAGCCTCGGAGAGGCGAAGGGGCCTTCTAGGGCTGTGGCCTCTGCGACCCGTCCTTGGCCACCTGATGCCAGTCCCGGGATTCTTCTTCAGATGCAGAATGAGTGCTGGCCCCGCTCAGGCCTTCTAGAAAGTTCCAAGCAGGGACAAATGCAGGGGATTGAGGGGACGCACCTCACAGAGGAGGTGGAGGGTGCCACCGCGGGACCCCACCCGGGCCCTCTGCTGTCCCGCCCGCCCTCCCCACCGCCCTCGGCTTCGGCTCCCTCCCAGGCACCTGAGGACCAGGGTCTCTGCTCTGCGCCGTGGGGAGCGTCTGTCCACAGAGAGCAGCACCCGGCTGTCCAGCGCTTGGCAGAACGTCACTCTCAGGGGCACAAGGCTCCGGGTTCTCCGTCAGCGCAGACCGCGTGAGAGTCAGACGTCAGGAGCCCGCCCCAGTCGGTAACCGGGCTGGGCGTCTGCTGGACGAGGGCTTCCAGAACTCACTGCCTGCCAGGGTGAGGGACCAGCAGGGAGCAGCCACGCGCCTGGAGAGGACAGAGGCCGCGGCTCAGCCGGTGTCGCTCACCCGAGAGGCCATGTCTGGAGACGGGAGCCGCCCGCTGCGCCCAGCCACAAGCTCAGGCCTCCTAGGCAGGTGGGGCCGAGGTGGCTCTGGACAGAACTCCCTGTGTTTGCTGAGCGCACAATCAACACACAAAGTCAACAACTCCCAGTCACATGGTCACACACAGGGGACTCCAGGGCACAAAGGACTGGACCCTCCCTCCCATTCAGACGTCCTGGGCCTCGGGAGTGGGAAGGACAAGGTCAGCACACCCTTCCAGGAAGCAGTGCCCCGAGCTGTCCCTGGGCAGCATCGTGGCGGTGCCAGGGCCATGTCCTCCTGGGGGAGGCTGCGGGGCCACGGGTGCGAGGTGCGGGTGCAGAGGTGGCCAGTGTCCCAAGGAGAACGTGAGAATGAAGCCCAGCCGGCCAGCCCTCGGCGGGGGTGGGTGCTCCCTGGGGGCTGAGGACACCGTGGCGCTCCCCACCTGGCCCACAACTACCAGTGACAGTGACCCGCCCTCCACTCCCGTCCCTTGGGCCCTTGGCAGGGCCTGTACACCACCTCAAAGGCCCTTCACCCCAGCCTGCCTCGGGGTGTCCCGGCTGCGGGATGCCCACTCCTGGGAGTCGCCGGCCTCAACTCCAGACACCCGTGGCCAAAGACTTAAAATAGGGGGTGACCGCCGGGTCCCTGGGGCAGGAAGGAGAGAGCTGAGGGCCACTTAGCCCCAGAACTGCCCCCAAGAGGGCAGAGAAAATGGGCTCGTCCCCCTCAGAGGACCTTCGGAGCTTCTCTCCTCCTTCTCCTGGGCCACCACCTGTGGGTGACAAGTGTCTACGGGCACAGACCCAGACACGAGCCCCGAGCCCCAAGCCAGCCGCGTCCACAGAGCTGAGCAGCAGAGGCTCCCGGCCCCTCAGGAAGGCCGCGCTGGGGGACGGTGGTCACTCCCAGGACTTCCACAAGCCAGGACAAGGAAGCAGGGGCCCCGAGCTGTCCCTGGGCAGCTACCCTCAAATGCCAAGTGTTGGAACAGTGACTGGGGACAGTCCCCATCGCTGTTCCCTAACGTGGCTCAGCGGGTGACACCTGGCCACAGGTATAAAGTGGGGCAGGGCTGCGGAGGGAAGAGAGTCCCCATGGGAGTCGCCGGGTCCCCCCTCTGGACCCTCAGTGCAGGCGAGAGTCGGGAACAAGCCCCAGGGCCCCACCCAGGTGCCCGTGAGGTCTCCTGGAGCTGTGTCCACCCCAGACCCCCGTGGTGCTCACGGCCTGGTGTCCTGACCCATCAGAGGGGACCGTGGCCCCTCTCAGCTCTGGAGCAGGGGCACTGGCAGGGGAAGCCCTGCTCATGGGCCAGACGCAGAGCTGAGGCCCTGACCCACTGCACCCCCGGGGCGGGGGGGGGACTGCAGCAACGTCCCCGCTGGGTCCTCTGCCCTGTCACCTGGCCAAGAGGCTGGCTCTGGGGCTTAGAGCTCACCCTCACTTACTCCCCCGCTGAGCTCTTCTGTACCTCTAGAAGGTGGGCTCACACTGAATCCCCCGCCGCTGGGCATCTAGAAGGTGGGCTCCCACTGA